AATGTAACATTCTAAAGTGGGGAAAATGTAACATTCTAAGGCTAAATGTAACATTCTATGGCAAAATCTAGCATTCTACTGCTAAATGTAACATTCTAAGGCTAAATGTAACATTCTAAAATTGGTAAATGTAACATTCTAAAATGGCAAAAATGTAACATTCTAAAATGGCAAAAATGTAACATTCTAAAATGGGGAAAATGTAACATTCTAAGGCTAAATGTAACATTCTAAAATTGGTAAATGTAACATTCTAAAATGGCAAAATGAAACATTCTAAAATGGCAAAAATGTAACATTCTAAAATGGCAAAAATGTAACATTCTAAAATGGGAAAAATTTAACATTCTAAAATGGGAAAAATTTAACATTCTAAAGCTAAATGTAACATTCTAACAGGAAAATGTAACATTCTAAGGCAAAATGTAACATTCTGTGGCAAAATCTAGCATTCTAAGGCAAAATGTAACATTCTAAAATGGGAAAAATGTAACATTCTAAGGCAAGATGTAACATTCTATGGCAAAATCTAGCATTCTAAGGCAAAATGTAACATTCTACGGCAAAATGTAACATTCTAAAATGGCAAAAATTGAACATTCTAAAATGGGAAAAATGTAACATTCTAAAGGCTAAATGTAACATTCTAAAATGGCAAAATGTTACATTCTAAAGGCTAAATGTAACATTCTAAAATGGGAAAATTTAACATTCTAAGGCAAAATGTAACATTCTAAAATGGCAAAAATGTAACATTCTGAAATGTGGAATCTAATAGATGTGTGTGTTTCTGCACCTCAATGCCCTCTTTGTTGAGCGCATACTCGTCAAAGCTCAGTATGGCGGTTTTGATGGTGCGTGGCGGTGGAAGAACCGTCAGACCGATGTTGATGGAGTTGCTGCGTTTGGAGTCCAGAATGATGATCTCCTGCCGCTTCCCATCCGCTGCCGTTTTCTGTTCGACACAAACACAATCATCAGCGCAACAAATGGCAGTCTGACAATTCATTCATTTTTCTGAGCAATTCATTAATGCACTGCTTATAAGAGTCATTGGCTCAAACCAATAAATCACAAATTGATTCATTTTTTGAGCAAATTATTTAAGCAGATGTTTAGATGTTTGTTCAATAGCTGGATTCAGTGAGTTAATTTGTGACTGATTCAAACTAATAATGCATGAATTCATTCTCTCTTTCTTTTGAGCAATTCATTAATTAATCGCTTATAAGAGTCAGATGTTAGTTCAACAGCTGGATTCAGTAAATTCATTTGTGTTGGTTCAAAACAAAAATGTATGAATTAATTGTTTTTAAAGCAATTAATTGAAGCATCGCTTATAAGAGTCATTTGTTTTTTGTGTAGTCAAAAAAGATCCCAGAGCAAAACTTAATTTTACTTGAGCAAAACTTGAGCTTTGCTATACTGTAATGGTGTTTCTGCTCACCTTAGTCACGGGCATCTCTTTGGATTTACTTTCAAACAGGTGTTCAAGTTTAGCCGTGTCAAGTTTGACAGGTTCAAGTCTGGACCAGAGCGACTCTTGGCTGCGTTTGTGGTTGCGGTAGATCCAGTCGGCGGGCCGGACTTCACTCCAGAACAAGCGGATGGTCTTCTTCCTCTTCTGGAAGAGTGGGGGTTGCTCCGCCTGCTGCTGAGGAGGGGGCGGAGCCTGGATGGAAAAGCAGGGAGGGGGCGGAGGCACGCGGATGCTGAACATGGGAGGGGGCGGTGGGCAGCTGAACATAGGGGGCGGGGCCGGGAGGTTAAAGGGGCAGGGTGGTGGTGGAGGGGGCGGAGCCAGCAGATCGCCGGAGTTATATAAACTCCCAGAGTCCAGGGCGTCCTCGTCGTCCTCGTCTCCCAGATCGGTGAAGTCGATGTCGCCGATGCGCAGATCCCGCGGACTCGCCATCAGCTGGTCCCAGATGGATTCTGACTCCTTCTTCGGAGGCGGCAGCGGAGGAGGAGGTTCCTGCGTTTCTATTGGTGGAGAGGTGAGACCCTTCACTATGTCACCGAAGCGCTCTGCGAACGCCCGCACGTTGCTCTGGTTCTCCACTTTCTTGTCTCCTTCACTCTTAGCGGCGTTCCCTTCTAGTGGCGTCGCGTCCTGCGACGAATCCTCAGCCTTTTCTTTTGCATCTCGCTCTTTGGCCTCGGCCAGCTCGTCTTCGTCCTTGTCTTCCTCCGAGGGTTTTTTGTTCTGCGAGTAGAGCATGTCCAGCATGAAGAGTTTGCTGTTGAGGATCTTGTTTCGTTGTTCGTTGCTGACGCTCTGAGCTGACCACTGACCTGCAGCAAACACACAGAAAGAAGAACCTCAGATACACTAGTTACTAGTTTACCAATGGTTCGGCCCCATGATTTGTTAAATATTTATTTTAATTTGATCATGTTTTAGCTACCAATGAGAGTGCAGTGCTCACTTTTTTACTATGTTTACTTTTAGCCATATTTTTTTTAAATTAGTTTAGAAAATGTGAAAGTCTATATTGATTATTATAGTTTAGAAAAAAACTTTTTAAATTTTTTATTTTATATCATATTTAATTGTGTATTATTTAATATATAGATATAATTTGTAATATTATAATATATACTAATATAATAACTAATTTAGATTGGTTATACATATATATATTTTATATATATTATATATATTATTATATATATAAATAATTTTATAATATATACTAATATAATAACTAATTTAGATTGGTTATACATATATATATTTTATATATATTATATATATTATTATATATATAATTTTCATTTTTGGGTGAACTATCCCTTTAATACATATATTATGCATTACATTACATTTAATAATACTCCTTATGTCCATTTTATTTAAATTAACTTTACATTTTAGTTCAGCTTTAGATCAGTATTTATAGTTTAGCATTTTCAAATGTGTTTTTATTTTAATATTTCAGATTTTTTTTTACATTTAATTTGACATCAGTTATATAATTTATAATAATTCATATAATTTAATTATTAGGGCTGTCAATCGATTAAAATAGTTAATCGCGATTAATTGCATGATTGTCATGAGTTAACTCGTGATTAATCGCAACTTAATCGCACATTTTTATCTGTTCTAAATGTACCTTAAATTAATACTTTTCAAGGTAATTCATATAATTTAATTATTAGGGCTGTCAATCGATTAAAATAGTTAATCGCGATTAATTGCATGATTGTCATGAGTTAACTCGTGATTAATCGCAACTTAATCGCACATTTTATCTGTTCTAAATTAACCTTAAATTAATACGTTTCAAGTTTTTAATACTCTAATCAACATGGGCATAGACAAATATGGATGCTTTATGCAAATGTATGTTTATTATTAGTGAAACCATACTCAACATAGAGCATGAAG